AAGGGAAACCGCAAGAAAATGACCTACCAGAAGATGGCTCGTGCTCTGCGCAACTATGGCAAAACCGGAGAGGTGAAAAAGATAAAAAAGAAGCTGACGTACCAGTTTAGTGATGAGGTGCTGGGCAAGAGTCATCTAGACAGAAAAGCATACATATAGGCAGGAGGAATGCTCAAATACTAGCACTGAATAATGAAAAGTATAGATTTAATCAGTCTTCCTGATGAGTACTGCTGCACAGTGTGACCGGGTCTTTGAAGGTACTAGTAAATGCAGCATAAAGCTATGGACCACAATCTTCCTTCTAAGACATGCTGGGGGACCGTTTAATAAGTACAGAAGAATCACCATAGAAAGCTCAGTTTGGCTTGTCTGTCTGAAATATTTGGAAGACAAAATACTCCAAATGATCACAATGAAAATAAAGTCAGGGCCGAACACGGTTATGTGTAACACGCTGTTTGTAAATGTGTATAGATATTTGTGAATGAGTACTTTTGAAAAGCTGTTATTGCTGGTGTTCCTTGTTGAGGTGGCCAGAGTTAGAAGTGAAAGTCATGTGATACCATGGTTTAGAGAGACCTTTGATACACACACCTAACAGACAAAGTCAATATCAGGAACTAGAAAGAATTCCTAATTACAACTACCCTTGGGCCATTTTAGTCAAAATAGCTTTAAAGTGTGCAGTTTATTACAGATTAAAGTTTATTTCAGGCTTAAAGTAATACAGTTTAATGACTTTAGCTCAGTCTCTCAAAAACTGCAGGCAACTCTTGTCTGACGCCTAACTCTTGTGAATGAAATACAGACAAACAACATGTACAAAACAACCATAAAGTTGAACTTCACCTCTGAAACCACAAAAACCACTACCAGCCACGGGGAACAATCATCTACGATCATCAAACTCTACAACATCATTTTCAAACACATTCATAAATCTTTGTTCTTAATTTTTCTTGTAGAATTTCTTTTTTGTCATTTTGGTTTATTGTGTCTTTTTGATAGAAAGTATAATAGTTTTCCTGTGTACGCAACAGAAATGTGAAAAAAAAATACATGGTTTTTACATTAAGACTTTAAATCCATGGGTAAACAGATTGAGTGCTTCTTTTCAAAGGTACTAAAGTCAGTCAGATGAACTTTCTGATAAACATTGCATCTCTGAAATGTAAAAGCCAGCTGGGATTATTGTTTTTCAGCTATTTGGAATCTGGAGCAATGAGTTCCAGCAGGTTACGTCTGCTTTTCTTTTGTAGCTTCATATTAAATGTACAAGCAGCAGCTATATGACTCTTTTCTTCGAACTCCTGGTATGAGAGAGATTTGACTTGTTCGCTGCCTGTTTAAAAGCATTAAGGAAAAGAAACAGAGCCCTCTCTTGGGTGGGGTGGATGTAGGCATGTTGACATCCCCCTATGCAGTTTTAAATGGGGGTGCACACATAGAGGTTCATATTCTGTTTGGAAATATCTGATATATTTTCACAACTAAATTCTGCTTCATGTCATTCAACCACAGCAATGACATTAAACTTCTTTGTCATGTTGAACATGTACAAGTTCTCTTGTAATGTTTTTACTACTGTTTGTATATATTTAAACTGGATTTTTTTAAAATATATTTAAAACAGAATATTAGGTTTCATATCATGGTTTAGAAGACTGTATATGAAACGCTGTATGTTACAATTACAAATCGCATGTACAAAGTTAATAAATTGTCCGTCACCTTATCTGTATTGTGCTTCTTGCAAAGATAATTGTGATGTGATTTGGGCAAACACTGGAGATAAAACACAAAGAAGAAGAAACACAAAGTCTATATAAAGTTGAATTGTGTTAGACACACAGATTAAGTGACATCTCTCATTACAACTGAAAAGATAATCGTTCAACTATGAGGAACTATGAGGTTAATATGGGGCTGGGGAGGTGAAGTCACTTGTCACCAAGTACTTATATCTGCCTGTGTGTACTGACACACCGCAGCCACCAGTTCCCCTGTTCATAGAGGGTATAAAGAACCCACTATGTTGAAAGTTACACAACTACAATTTTTATGTTATATCACTGAGTGGGCAATGTAGTCCTCTGTTCATTTGTTCTCTATTTGCTTTTCATTTACATAAAACATTTTTTAGCAAACTGTCTAAAGAAGACCTATGAAATGCTCACTGACTTCTCCGTTTCCACACACATCCTTTTTTAACTGAGAAAATAGGAACTAGATTTATTTATCATGTCAGAATCAAGTATGTCAAAGGCAAATTTTGTCATAGATAGATGCTCCTGTATGTGAAATATTAACATATGTAATGTGTTACTGAGGGTAGCAGATTTAAATATGTATAATGTGTGAAATTAGATATTTAGAAACTGTGTTTTATGGCATATTGTATTGACCTTGTACTGCTGAAGCTTCATCGTGGGCCAGAGAAAAACACTTTGAGAGTTATTTTTCATTTAAAGTGCTCAGCGTCTGTGTGTTGGTCTCACAGTTGCATTCTAGTTACGATGGCCGCGGGTCTTTGGCATTATGGGAGTAGCCAAACTGCAACATTTACTACTGTAATCTGCAATATGTAAATATAAAGTTACCACAGCACCTGGTGTCTCAAGAGCCAACAGCTCCCCACAATGGCTGAGCTATAATTAATATCAATAACATGTAGGCGTTAAAATGTCCTTCAGTCAAATACAGTAATTTAGAGCTACAGTAATCTAGAGATCATGCAAGAGAAAGAGAACTGTGTACATGAGATGCATAAAAGCACCAGATTAGAGTATAGTACAATGTAGTTAGTGTAATATAGTATAAACCTTTTGTAGACACAAATCCCTTTGGGGTGCATCAGGAAGGGCATCTGGTGTGAAAACGTTGCCAAATCAAACATGCATAGCTACACGATGTGGATAAATAAATTCACAAGCTACACCTTGTGAATAAGTGAGCCGTTGATGGTAGCTTTAGTATAGCATAGACAAAAAAGAGAAGGTCTGTTAGGAGGTAACAAGAGAGAACGAAAGGCAGAAGTGTGGAGTAACATTTAATTTCAGGACTGTGGCTGTCAAAGAGAGAGCTGGCTGATTCACAAAATCATGGGTTTGAGGCATGCCACACAGGCTGGATGTCAGTAAGAAGAGAAAGAGGACTTCTGGAGTAAGCTGGATGAAGCGGTAGAGAGTGTCCCTGGGGGGAGAGAGTGGTGATTGGAGCAGACTCCAAAGTTCATGAAAGTGAAGATAACAGAAAGGATTAGGAAGTGTTAGGTTGGTATGATACTGAAGAGAGAAATCCAGAACGATAGATAGTAGTGGATTTCGTGAAAAGGATGGAAAAGGCTGTGGTGAAAAGTCTAAGGAGCTTGGAAAGCTTGGTGAAAATGTGCTTCAGGAAGAGGAGGAGCACGGAGTAACATATAAGAATGGAGGTGAAAAGAACAAGTACATGAAACTATTCAAAGGAGGATGTTAACAAAGAAAAAGTGAGATAATCTGAGACACAAGCACAGAGAGGGTATAGATACGGCAAAAACTGAGTTGAAAAGGAAAAGGCTAATTGTGAGTTGTATGTAAGGCTGAACACTAAAGAAGAAGAAGATCAGAGAGGAAGTGTGCTGATGCCAGCTTTCAAGATGATGTACGGAGCTGTAGTGACTGCACAGGGATAAAGTTGAAGAGCCATATCATAAAGATGTAGGAAAGAGTTAGTTTAAGAAGAGAGATGATGATCAGTGAGCAGCAGCATGGCTTAATGCTGAGAAAGAGAAGTATAGATGTAATGTTTACTTTGAGAGTGTTGATGAAGAAGTATAGAAATGGTCAGACGGGGCATCACTGAATGAATCTGCAGAAAGCATGCAGTAGGAAAGAGTAAGCGAGTGGCAAGAGAGGAACTGTAGTACTGCATGAGGAAGTCAGGGGTGGCAGAAAAGTATGTGAGGGTGGTGCAGGGCACCATGAGGATAGTGAGTGAGTAGTGAGGTGTGTAGTAAGAGTGACAGATGGGTTCAAGGTGTGGGTGGAATTACATTACTGAACTATGATGTTTGCAATTGAGATTTTGATCTGTAGTGGGAGTAGGGTGCAGGTGGAAGAGAACCTGGGCAGGTGGAGGTATGCTGTGGAGAAAAGAGGAATAAATGTTTGTAGAAGCAGGACAGGGAGAAAGGTGTAACAGCAATGCTTCGAGGGGTAGAATTATGGTATGATGTATGTGGCATTAACAAAAAGGAGGCAGAGCTGAAGATTTTCATTGAGAGTGATGGGAACAGACAGGATTAGAAATAAGTACATCAGAGGGACGGTTCAGGGTGAGCAGTTTAGAGATGAAGAGACAAGGCTTTGATGGAGGGATAGTGAATATGTTCAACACGGCATGTTGAAGATGGAGCTGAAAAGAGGAAGAACACAGTGAAGATTCATGGGTGTAGTTAAGGAGGACATGTTAAGGAGGAAGATGCTAGAGATAGAGTGAAATTGAGGCAGATGATCCACCTCGGTGGCCCCTAAAGGGATCAAGCAACTTTGTATTTGCTCGACAACCTCATGGCTCAGTTGCTGCCAAAAAACAACAAGATTGCCATGCATGTGTGTCCAAGACACAGACCAGTTAAAGACCTTATCCATTAAAAAAACAAAAACAAACTAGAGTTTGTCTCTCTATTTGTAGTTTTAACTCTTAGACATACAGGCTAACAGGAGGCAGAACAGATGTGGGCAGAGCAGACTTTTTTTGGAATCAAAGTGCTAAATATAAACTACTGCGTTACATCTCTTCCCCTCCCTCTCAAGGCCTATCATTCAGCCGAGGTGCTGGAGGAAAGGATGGTTGAAATATAGCCCTTGGTCAGACGTGACCGGTGACAGGCGGTGGGCTGGGAAGTGGGGGCTGGGTCACTGCTGGAATGGGCTGTAGGAGTGGAGTGGTGTCTGCGGACACTGGCTTAGGACTAGCAAAAATGGCACAAGAGGTGGGATGGTTCATGGAAGGAGGGGAGGCATTTTTGGAAAGAGGCCCACTATTAAAGGCAGGGGGTGTTGAGACAGACAGCAGACTGTTTGGGAGCAAAGAGTCACACAATTTGAAGAGAGGAGATTGATCAGGATGCCAGAGCCAGTCAAAAAACCAAGTAAGTGGACATATTCGACTACCTTGGCAAACAAAGATGGAGCAATTTATTTCTCATCTTATTTAATGTTCCTACTGTTCTGTCACATGCCTGCTTTGAGCAAACTAATCCATGAATCAAAAGGTTTGCCATAGATATGAGTTCTCTTAATAACTGTAAACTTTTAGATACACTCTTTATTGTGATATTACCACGTTCTACCTTAATATCTAGTCAGAAGAACAACAATATGGCAAGACATGTGTAAAAAGTACATGTGAGAAAAAGCTGAGATGGGCCACACCCCTCTTAAGCAATGAACCACAACCAAACTGCCTGCCAAATACCTGCATATCATTTTTGTTATAGACGGTGACACAGCCTTTGTTTTTTGTTCATAGTGTTTTTATATGAAAAGTTTTCTAAACAGACTTAAAACATCATTTTAAATATAAAGCTTATTTATTCCCACGCAATGACTTTAACCTGTGTAACTGAGAAATGACATTTGGAAAACATAAAGAAAATGTAGCTCTTCCTTTTCATGATTATTAAATGAAAGGTGGTTCAATATGTTCACTTTGTACAGCTTAAAGATGTGTAATGCAGTTGACCAAGTAAAGTAGCAGTATTCTTCTTCCATTCCCTCAAATTTAAATATATTCCATGGCTTATTAAGGTGCCACAAGTGCCTTTATTAAAATGCTTTATCAGCCATCATGTAGCCAGGAAGGGAAAATCAGAACCTACTACATTCGTGTGCATGCAGTTGTTGTTTCTCATCAGAAAACACTCTGAACTTGAAGCCCTTTTTGGTCTCGTCAGTAACTCACTTACACATCTCGCGGCGCAGGTGGAAACATCGTCTGATGTGAAATCGACACTGTCACATTTCCAGCATCACTGCATTCACAAAATGATTCACTGATCCAAAAATGCCCCGCAGGATTCCAACTTGACAAATGACTTTCCACAGTTTTCTTTGCGCTCTTGAGTGGGAAATGAATGGCCGCTTGAGGAGCGAGAAGCCTGACATGTCACATATCCGATGACAAAGAGTGCAGCCCAAATGGCCAAGCTTGTGTGCGTGTGTTAAGACCTTTAGTGTCAAGGATTTGTTCAGGACAAATTGTCTTGAGCCCATAACATTACTGACAATTACTATCAGTACAGTGCGGTCAATAAGATTGTTTTCAGTCAAACATTTAAAGACAAGAATAAATACAGCAACAACATTAAGAAAAGCTGTAATAATATATAAATGAACACATTTGGCTGCAGAAGGTGCATTCAGCTCAATCCTAACCTTTAACACTAATCACTTGTTAATGTGATTGAATTAAACAGAGATTAAACTGTAAATGCCAACATTTAACCTGGTCATCGTGAGATTCAGCTGAAATAATTTGCTAAGCATATCCAAAAATAAGGTGAAATTAGGTTTAAAAGACCACTAATCAGCTTTACAATTACTATAATTCTCTAAAAATAAAACTCAAGGGAGTCTATTTGACCTTAAAGCCAGACAGCAGTATGAAAATTAGAACAGTACAGATGATTGACAACATGACAAGAAGGGCACATTATTCTTCCTCTCCCTTTAAAGTCACAGAAATAGCCTCCAGCTAATCCCTCAACTATGATACCTGCAACCCCTGTTGCAGCTTAAGCCTGCCAGCCTCATTTATTAGTCCAGTACATATGCATCCTATATTTAAACTCATACTTGCGGGGCCATCTGTTAACATGTGGAGGGCTTTTTTTTTTCTTTTTTTGGTTTGTGTGTGGTTTGGTGAGGACTCGCTGAAGACTGTCCGCCTGCATTACGCCAGCACAAAGTGTGCGATTCATAACCGTTAAACCATTAAACATGTCAGTCAGTCGTGTCAGTCACGCTCCCTGTTTTTAGGCTTCTTGTAAAGATGACAAACACTTAAGAGTTGCTGAAGAAATTTTTTCTGTCTTTCAGATTAAAAGTGTTTAGCTTGTACACATACAGTACAGCACTGTTAATGCTTGTTCACGTTCCAGAATGTGCTCCGGAATTCATTTTTGTCTTCTAACTTGATGTTTGTGCTCTGACAGGATCTGTGTGGAGTGGCAAAAGGCAAATTTATTGGTTTTCAGTTAGCCCCACCCAGTGTGCTGTGGACTGTACAACATTTTTCACCCTGGGCAGCCATGCTGAGCTCATGACTCTTCTAGCTTTGCTGACAATACTTATTGTTGCCCCCATATGTCTTGTTCTTTCTTCAGAATTTCTTCGGGCATGATCTTTGTTTTTTGAGCAGAGAGAAATTAACCAGATGAAAAAAGTTTAAATAATGTCAAATCTCACAGATATTTGTCATTTAGTGTTTTTACAGCATGATCAAATTCTAATCACTGAATTGTCGGTGAGATGATGGTATCTGTGTTCACTGCTGGCCTGGCAGCATATGAGCTTTAAAGAAAGAAAGTTAAATTGACACATCAAACGTTTGCTTTTAATTTCCAACCCACCCTCCCCAGTTTCAGCATTTGCCAGGAAACCAAAGACTCAGGAGGCAGAAGAGGGGTCCTCTGTGATCTTTGAGGCAGAGACCGAAAAGCCAGACGCTAAAGTAAAATGGCAGTGCAACTCAAAGGACATTGCCAGCGACAGCAAATACATTATTGCAGCCGACGGGAACAAGCACTCGCTCACTATAAAAGTTATTACCAAAGAAGACGCCAGTGTCTACGCAGTGATCGCTGGGGGCTCAAAGGTCAAATTTGAATTGAAGGTGGTGTCTCAACCAGGTGGGAGATTGCGATGCTGCTGCTGTGCATTTGAGGTCTCTGTGTGCTCACCTACGGGCTGTAATGTCATCACTGTGCACAAAGCAAAATGGAGCACTCGATGCAGAAAACCACTGAAGCAGTAAATAGTTGACACACTGCATGCACTTGATGTTTCTGCACATTCTGACAGCACCCTCTGACAGCTACTCAAAACCAGATCTCTGAAACAGCTTGTATGCTGTGCATTTGAGAGATGTTTGCTTTAAAAGGATCAGTTTGACATTTTGGGGAATGCATCATTTCTTTTCCTGTCGAGAATTAAGTTAGAAGATTGATGAAATTCTCGTATTTGACAGCTAGATTCAAGGTTATAGTCAGCAGACAGCTGGCTTAGCATATAACTCATACTGTATTAAGGGCAGCTACCTTGACTCGGTCCAAAGATTTAAAAAAAACATCAGACCACCTGTGCATGAAAGGGCACCTCTATAGCTCACTGTGAAGTTGCTGGGGAACCAGAAATGACTGTGTCGAACTTTGTCTTGACCTTTTTTAAAAAGAGACATCTATAAAGGTTTAGACCCTCAGAAGTGGCCAATTGTTATGTGGTTAAATGTGTTTTGTAGTTGTGCATACAAACTTAGGAGAGGCATTCTTATGGGGCTAGAGTAATCAACTTAAAACCTTGTTTTGTGTTCTGTTGGATTTCAGTAACCCTGCTGCCCCCGTCCCTGCTGGAGTTACAAGGTGATCAGCTGTTGGCTGATTAGAACAAATCTATGACATTCAAGCCTGGTTCCCTGAACGGAAAGCTCTGTATTAAGGGACTTTAAAAGCTTGAGTGTCGTCACACTGTGTTTTCCCCAAACATGACATTGTGATTTTTTAACACATCAAAAGATCCTACTGAAACTACATGAGAACCTACGTGGTCCACTAAATCAAAAATAATTGTCCCAGAAGGGACTTGAACACTAGTCAGCTGGCGTAAGGGTCTGTGACATTTGGCTTTGTCGCTATAACTGGAAACAGGCCTTCATGTTGTTTCAGTAAGACTTAAATTGTACATAACAGATGGTGGAGAGAGAGAGAGAAGTCATCCAAGCCAGTGGTCGGATGACTCGTTGTAACGTGACTAGAAATTACACAGCTTCCTTCAGTTAGTTGCATGCCTGTGTCCTGGGGACTGTTGTCTCTAAATACAAATGATATTACAACAGCAAGTTTATTTCCCAAAAAGTCCAGCTCTTCATTTGAGGCCGTGAACACACCTACTCACTCGTTTAACTTCACTCCTTTTGTCCTGTATTTTATCGCACCTGCACAGCACTCTAATGTACATTGAGACGATTGCCAAGTGTGTCACGGAGCAACATTTGTGCTATTGCATTTGTGTTCGTTTATCAGTGTGACCCTTTGGCTTTAGTAAGATGTAAACAAATGTCAAAGAAAGACAGCGGCCAAAGTGCCCAGTGTGCTATAAGGGACTGGCCACAGCTGTCTGGGGCTCATATCATAGCCACCTTTACTCTGTTTGCATGACGACCTTGACCCACACCAACGCATTATTTCCTCATGAGTAACCACCACTTGACTGGCACTGAGGAAAGGCATGAGAGGCAGCTGATAACACATGGAAAGTCAGCGGGCCTTTAAAAAATGATAAGATAAAAATATTTTGGTGATGAATGTTGGCCAGATACCTTTGTGGAGATAGGTTAATTGAAAAATCTAAATTGCCCATAGTTGTGAATGCAGGAGTGAATGTGAGTGCGAATGGTTGTCTGTCCCAGTGTGTTAGCCCTGCGACAGACTAGCGACCTGTCCAGGGTGTACCCCGCCTCTCGCCCTATGACAGCTGGGATAGGCTCCAGCGCCCCCCGCGACCCTGAAAATGATAAGCGACTGGATGAATGTTGGCCAGAGAGTTTTTGTTGACAAAACACAAAAATGTTTTCACCTCTCGTATTATTTATGTTGTTTCAAAGACTAAAAACTCACTGTTTGGAGCTGATTCTTTGTTGAGAGGGGAACAGTGAATGGACTAAACGTATGATTGTGGTTTCTCTGTGCCTCTCAAATGTTTCTTGCTATCTTCAGCTGAGGCCCCTGCTGATGGAAAACCAGAACAAGCCCCTTCTCAGCCTGCAGTAGCCCCAGTACAAGAAGAAACCCCTGCCCCAGCACAAGCTGAGGGTAAGTTCATTTTTATCACTCACTCAGTGATTCCTTTGTTCTCTTACCAGCTGTCCATTTTTATAAAATATGCTGTGAAAATCATTCCCCGAATGCTCAAAAATGCCCCCAAATATCCCATAACTGTACATGTGTACTCCACAAAGACTTTGAAAACAGCTGCCATTTGTAAGAAAAGGCATTGCCTGGATGCTATTTTAAGTTTTGCACATGCTACGTTTAAAGAAAAGGTCTCCAAGGTCCTGTAATTCCATGTAGCAGGGTGGATAAATACAGGACCCCTCAGACTTTTTAATGACCTTCTTTTAAAGAGGATTTCACATTTATTTTTACTGTAGTAGAGTAATGTCAGATCAAAAATTGTCATATTCTATTTAACAACAACAGCAGAAAGTTGAATGGTTTATGTCATGTGCCTCTATGTGACAAGTGCATTAAGGAGGCAAATACAGGACACAGGAAATAACCTCAAACAATCAGCAAATCCAAACATTTGCCAGTGAAAAGTTGCCAGAAAACATTAGAATGAACCTCAAAGACAGTGAGCAAGTTTACTCAACAAAGGGCAAAAGGCGACTAAGACAAGACAGATGCAGAGGGATGATTGGGGCAAAGAGGACATACAGCTGAACTGGACAAGACAAGAGATGAGAGACTACCACAATAAAACAGGAAGTAACACAGGCACAACAACAGCCACACACAGAGACTTGACAACCTGACATGAGGAACAATATAGTGACCACAACAGTAACTGAAACTAAAAACCCAAGCGTGAACACGAATTAACATGCACAAAGCTGAAAAACAAAACAATAATAAACAATTTAGGAATGACCCCGAGGATCATAAACAGAACACGAGGGCCCGAAATATAAAAAAGATTGGGTCAGCAGCCCAGGACCATGATAGGTTTGCCTTAACTCTCAGAGCTAAGCTAATAATGTGCTATTTTCAACACAATGAAAAACCCAAACATTTTTATAATTGAAGTTTATGCTGTAGCATTGTATTTTAATCCCGTCGGTTTTCAGATGCACATCCTCCAGACACCAGACAGGACCTGACTGGACTCTTCACAGAGAAACCTCAGGGTGGAGAAGTCACTGTAGGTGAGTGGCTTCAAAATACAGGATATAAAATTAAATACATTTAATCCTTAATCTAATCCCACAGAATTAACCAGCTATGTATAGGAAGGGTGGACACACAAAAGCAAAGATACTTGTAATGAAAATACTTAAAAAGTAGAATATTGTATCCTTTTAATAAAAAACAAAAAGAAGCTATATCGCACAATGAATGTAATGTGTATAATGTGCGCTCAGTAAGATGATCATTTGTAGAAAAGGTAAAGATGCCATCAGATATGAGAATCAAATCCAAGCCTTGTTTTCACACAGGTGAAAACATCACTTTTGTGGCTAAAGTGAACGCTGAGTCGCTGCTGAAGAAACCCACGGTCAAATGGTTCAAAGGGAAGTGGATGGACCTTGCCAGCAAGTCTGGAAAACACCTGCAACTGAAGGAGACATATGACCGCAACACCAAGGTGGGCTAATGCTAAAAAGACATCACAACAAGCAACACTAGAAGAAATTTGGAATAACATATGTTAAAAGCTATGCTTCCGTTCAAGGAACACACAAACGCAAGGGCTCATGTTGTTTGTCACTAAAATGACCTTAAGGCTGGAATATGTAGCATTTCACGCTGAAGCAACCGACATGTTTTGCAAGTCCTGCCCTTCTCACTCTCAGTTGGGCAACATCTTGCCTCAGGCATTTATCCTGAAAGCACGACAAACCACAGGCACGCTATCTTCGAGGTAATGACACAGCAGTGACACATCTAACCTGTTCGGAAACCCAGAACTTCAGGGAAACTTAGAGATTTCAAAGGAAAGGAGGCAGGGAAAATCAGCAGACACCTTCCTAAAAACATCCCACATACACACAGCAAAACACATTATATCTCCAAACACATTAAATCTCACATCTCTTTGCACACATGTGATTGCAGGTCTACACATTTGAGATGCACATCATTGCTGCCAAGGCTAACTTTGCTGGAGGTTATAGATGTGAGGTTTCATCCAAGGATAAGTTTGACAGCTGCAACTTTGACCTCACTGTTCATGGTGAGTGTCCTTATTTTATTAAT